CTGTATATAAAGTTAATTTCTTGTTGGAACACTCCTCAAAATGCTGGAAATAGCCTATCTGAGCTTCAAATTCTGGTGTATGTTTACCGGCACTTTACACTATCATGGTGTTATCACATACACCAGAATTAGCTGGGCACATTTACACCGTTTGAGGGTATGTTTACAGCATAATAGGTGTTAATACTTCGTTTAATTTTCTACTTTACACCAGATCAGTGTATCTTAAAATCGTCTAGTGTAATTATACACCAGGTTCAGTGTAGATTTGCACGACGTAAGCATTCATGTTTTTTACATCATACCGGTGTATATTTACACAATCATGATGTTATCTCATACACAAGAATAGGCTAAATTTACACCGTTCGAGGGTAAATTTACACCAAAAAGGTGTTAATACTTCGGTTTCTACTTTACACCAAATCAGTGTATCTTAAAATAGTCTTAGCTAGTGTAATTATACACCAGGTTCAGTGTAGATTTACACTAAGTAAGCATTCATAATTTTTACGCCACTCCGGTGTATATTTACACTATCATGGTGTTATCCCATACACAAGAATTGGGTAAATTTGCACTTGTTAAGGGTAAATTTACACTGCAATAATAGAGAATACATTAGTTTCTACTTTACCTCAGCTCCGTGTATTTTAACGCATTCTAGGTGTAATAATACACCAGGAAAAGTGTAAATTTACACTTCGCAAGTGTTGGTATACTTTACACCGAATAAGTGTATATTTACACTATCGCAATGTGTAAATTAACAGGGAAAGAGGTAATGTTACACCGTTCTAATGTAAATCTACACCGAATTAGGTGTAAATAGAATATTTTCTACTTTACGCCTAGTAAGTGTTACCGAGACACTAAAATAGTGTAAAGTTACACTGTGGAAGTGTAATGTTACACTCGAACGGTGTTTAATTCCGCGTTACACCTAATTAGTGTAATGTTACACCTTTTTGGTGTTGCCGCAACACCGCGAGATTTACAGTGAACAATCTTTCATAGACATCATTCATTGCTCTGTTTACATTTTAAATGCCATATACAAACGTATACGAAGTCTTTGTATGCACAGCCAGAAAGCATAAACGCATTCTTGCTTTTCCCGTTGCAGCTGTTTTATCAACTATTGAGTAAATCTTCTGGTGGAAGTGAATTGAGTAATTTTGTGTTTTCTGTATGTGTTAGTGCATGCATGTAGCTGAATGGAGTCATTTTAATAATTTATGCAATATTTTACAAGAAGAAAGACCTTTTCACTGTCTCGGTATGCCGAACACCTGTCTTGATAACTATCTGAAAGTGTAAGCAGATGGGCCTGATCTCAAGATTATTTAGTTACATAAATTAAGAATCATCGCGTCGCATTCGTCATTTGCTGCCATGAGTTGAGATATGTTCACTATTTTAACGAAATGAAGAATAAACACTGTACGCCTATTACAGGTATCAGATGTGAATATTGTTGTTATCCTTGGTACAGTATAGTGATCGCCTTTCACCAAAGTGTACTCGGTTTCTGCCAAAAAGACGTTTATCTCTAGCTAAAGAATTTGAAAAAAATGAGATCTATGGTACTAATACTTCTGTTCATAGCGCGCACAAGCTGTTGGCCAGGTGGATTGGGTAAGCAAGAATTACATGTTTTACAGATAGATTGAACGAAAAGAATTATGTGCTGTATGTATGAGCATTAATTAGAAGTATTACATCTCCCGTAATAGCGTACGGGATCGAAGCAATTGAATGCCGGCGGTGCTATTAGCTGGTTATCAATATAAACGTGTAAGTAACTAGTGCTCTGCATACTGCAGATAATGGATTTAGGTAAATGTAAAGCAACTACTGAAAAGATTTGTAGTTTTTAGTGTTCAACATTAAACACGCAACTAAATGGTTCAAAAAGCGGATTTCAAATCTCTTCATTGGACATTAATAAATTTAGCCTACTATATGTCGTTGCTTATTTGAAAAGCGTGAAGTTCCATTGCACTCTGCTCTGCCACCTCACTTACTCTGTCTTTCTCACAGTACGTACATATATTTAACACGATTCTTCTTCCATGTACATTATGCATGCAACCACACATATAATAAACATACCGATACATGCATAGCTAAATGGATATCACCACCGTAAGTCATTTAGTTGCATAATTTTTAAAACATATATATCTATTATAATCCATAGTAAAATTACAATCTTTGTGATTTCCTCAATTTAGAAGGAATTTCCTTTTCTTCATTTGCTTACAAAATCAAGCACTTAATATCATATTGTAGTCTTATCATATGCTTCTGTAATATACCGTGAGAATAACTATTCTCTAACGATATATTGAATATATAATAAAAAAACTAGAATTGTGAATTTGGAGAAAAGTATTCCTACAAATCATGTTGCAGTAAAATTTACTGAAATCTTATTCCACCTGGGTAGTGTAAGACATTTTACCAACGGATGTATATGAAATGAATAGATATGGCATATGCATGCGTAATATATATATATATATATATATATATATATATATATATATATATATATATATATATATATATATATATATATTTCAAACAGTCGATCATTAATAATTGCTGCCGTAGCGAGCTAGCGAGGAAGCAGTCCTAATTGCTGCGGAGCGAGCGAGCCTGAAGGGAGCGGGCGAAGCAGCAGCCTAATTTGTGTAGTAGGCAGTAAAAAAGCAGATTTTATTACGTCATTAGCTATAGTCGTTACGTAGTTGTACGAGAGACAGTACCGCGCATGTATTAACCAGTTGTACTGTTCATGCGAACCAGTGAGCACCTGCAATTTTTTTCGCTCCGTTGGAACTTGGAATTCATTTAGATGCTGGTGCGGTAGCGCCCTCACCAGACAATGCAATGTTGTTCAACATGTTTTCCGAACTACAAAAAAGTATGGTAGAAACCACACAATTTTTAAGTGAACTACGCGCTGAACGCGCATCAAAGGCAGTCGATTCAGAAGAATCGCAAACGCCAGTCCCAGAGGAGGACACCACGCCAGCTTCAGAGGAAGCAAATACCGATACGCCAGCTTCAAAAGAAGTTCATACGCCAGCTTCAGAGGAAGCTAGTCCATCTGACCAAAGGGTCGTAAATGATGATACATTAAGCATTCTAGGAGGCGATGACTTTGACGATAATGAGGACCTTTTAGATGAAATTGTTAAATCGTTACGGCCGTCAGACTCTATAGGCCCACCGATACATCAAAAAATCGCAAAAACTGTAAACAACAAGTTTTCATCAGATCCCGGACTAGAGAAGCGTAAGGAAAAATTTGAAAAATATAAAACACCTGAAAAATGTCCAAAGCTTTTTGTACCAAAGGTTAATGAACCTATTTGGACGAGCCTCAAAGCTTTTCACCGACAGCGTGACTTACGCACAGCAGTCTTACAAGACTCTATTAATTGTTCGAGTATCAAGCGCATTTTCTGTTACAGTTGACGAGCTACTAAAATGTAGAGAAAACAAGACATTGCCTGATTATCGTACTGTTGCCTCACGTCTTTTTGACTCAGTTGCGCTTTTGGGCCATGTTAATACGGAATTATCCTATAAAAGACGGGATTCACTGCGCCCATTACTCAGTAACGAATTAAAGCCTGCTTGTCACCGACCGAACAAACCTGAGAAATTTCTTTTTGGTGACTATCTGGGCAAATCAGTCAATGAGGCTAAATTGCATGGGAAGTTCTTGCTGCGTGATTCATTCCCGCGCCAACGGTTTATGCCTTATCCAAACCAAAAAAGGCAACAATTTTTACCAAAACGGGGGAGGGGTCATTTCCTCCCCAGCAAACATTCCGTCCGTTCCTAAGCCAACAACAGAAGAGTCATTTCCGTCAATAAATAACCAGGTAATTGGTTTTCCGACATACTTTACCTCGAAAATCTTGCCAAATTTAAAAAGACTGATTGATCTATTTTGTGGCGGCCAAATTAAATATTTTAGTCACAGTGGGAAGGTTTGACTTCTGACAGAAGTATACTACAGACTGTCAAAGGTGAAGTCATTGAGTTTATCGGAGACCCCCCAACATGTTCTAATTATCCAACAAACTCGATTTCAAAAGATCATGAAATTAAAATGGACGAAGAGATTTCTAAACTCTTGGCTAAAAACGTCATTGTCAAAACTTTCCGCGAACCAGGCGAGTTCATTTCGCCAATCTTTTCCGTTCCCAAGAAAGATGATAAGGTTCGACTTATCTTAAATCTCAAAATATTTAATGAACATGTCAAATCATACCATTTTAAAATGGATTCCATTAACACCGCCTTATCACTTATGACAAAAGAATGTTGGCTAGCATCCCTCGATCTCAAGGATGCGTATTATACTGTTGGTATACATAAGGACTATCAAAAGTTCTTAAAATTCTTTTATAAAGGAAAACTTTTCAAATATACTGTTTATCCAAATGGTTTGTCAACATGTCCACGAAACTTTACCAAACTACTTAAACCATGCAGTCTTATGTACCTTACGAAAAAATGGTCATATACTTGTAGTATTTATTGATGATATTTTGATCATATCCACCTCATATGAGGGCTGTATTACATCAATTATTGAGGCTGTCAATCTCCTCACTAACTTAGGCTTTGTCCTTCATGTTGAGAAGTCAATGTTTTTCCCTCAACAGAAGATTGTGTTTTTTGGTTTCAGCTCAATTCCGCAACAATGAAAATTAAGCTAACTAATGAGAAAATCACAAAAATAATGTCTCTTATTTCATGTATACTAAATTCAGACAGGTACACAATTCGGTATAGGTAGCCCAAATTATTGGGTTACTTGTTTCTAGTTTCCCAGCCGTTCGATCGGAGAATGTCACTATCGAGTCATTGAGCACTAGATAAGATTCAGGCATTAAAAATAGCAAAGGGAAAATTTGATAAATATATGCAATTGTCAACTCGTTCAATTGAAGATCTGAATTGGTGGTTATTGAATTTACCAAACTTTTACAACTTGATCCATCCCACTCCTGTAGATGTCAGTGCTAATTCAGAAGCATCTCTCACGGGTTGGGGAGGTGTGCTGGATAGCTGTTCTATGGGAGGGTCTTGGACTGCAGTCGAAGCACAACAACATATAAATTATTTGGAATTGCTCGCTGCGTTTTTCACTTTAAAAAGTTTTATAAACCACCTAAGAAATAAGCATGTAAAAATCATGATTGATAACACAACGGCAGTGTCGGTAATTAATAATAAAGGCACAAATCACAGTGAGCAATGCAATGAGGTGACACATGAGATTTGGGCCTTATGTGAAAAGCATGGAATTTGCCTGGTAAACTGAATATTCTTGCCCATAAAGAATCCAGAAACAAAAACCTTGACACTGAATGGATGCTTAATAAAACATATTTGACTGAAACTCTATCTAAACTATATGTATTTCACCTAATATTGATCTGCTTGCCTCTCGATTAAACAAACAGTTTGATACATACGTATCTTATAAACCAGACCCATATGCTAAGCATATCGATGCCTTTACTATTTCCTGGGCATATGAAAAATTTTATTGTTTCCCTCCTTTCAGTTGCATTCTGAGAGCACTCAGGAAAATAATTCAAGACAAAGCCACGGGCATTCTTGTGGTCCCCGACTGGCCAACACAGAGCTGGTATCCCCTCCTACTTCAATTTCTAGTGAAGCCCCCACATCGTCTATTGCCCAAAGCCGACCTCTTAGTCTTACCATCAGACTGGGACCACAAACATCCTCTCCACAAGAACTTGAACATTCTTATTTGTCATGTATCAGGAATAAACTGCAAGTGAGGGGTTTCGCCACCGATACAATTGACATTATTCTCAGTTCTTGGCGAGAGGGAACTAAGACGCAATATCAGTCAACTGCAAAGAAATGGTTTGATTTTTGTCAGAAAAACAACTGTGATATCATTTCACCATCTTTGCCTCAGGCATTGTTATTTCTGTCCGATTTATTCAAATCTGGTTTGTCGTACAGTTCTATTAATACAGCTAGAAGTGTTCTTTCTTCAATTTTGTCCTGGGAGAGCAATCCTACTCCCTTCGGCCGACTGCCCATCGTTAAACGCTTTATGAAAGGTGTATATGAGTCCCGACCGTCTCTGCCAAGGTATTGCTCCACATGGAATGTCAATACTGTCTTCAATTATTTAAGACGTCAGTAAGCACCATCATTATTATCCATGAAAGACCTCAGTCAAAGAGTTGCTTTTCTCTTAGCCCTTCTCAGTGAACAGAGATGCCAAACAATCGGTAAATTATCAATAGAGAATATGACAATGGAAGAGACAAAAATCACCTTTTTTTAATAGCAGAAAAATTAAAACATTCTAGTGGCTTCATCAACAGCCACTAGTTTTTATGGCGTATATTGCTGATCAAAAATCGTGTATCCAAACATATTTACAGGAATATTTAAAACGAACATCACCCGTTCGTGGTGCTAACAAGCAGCTTCTTATCAGTTTCGTGAAACCTTACAAACCCATCTCAACGGAAACAACCTCGCACTGGATAAAAAACTTCATGACAACTGCTGGTGTTGATACTACAAAATATAAGAGTCATAGTACTAGAGCAGCATCAACATCTCATTTAGCATCCCAACAATTTGACCTTAAAGATATCTTGAATGCAGCTGGGTGGTCAAAAGAAGAGACTTTCAAACGTTTTTACCATTTCAAAGATAACAATGAATTTAACTTTGGTAGTGCTATTATGAATACACTATCCTAAACAATTGCATGGTCTATTTGTATAATTATTTTATTATGTGATATTTCCTTATACTGTACATTGTGTTTTTTCTTCCTTGCTGTTTATTCTTCGGATATAATATTGGTGCAATGCCACCTCTAAATTCTCGTACAACTACGTAACGACTATAGCTAATGACGTAATAGAATTGGAAATTAAACGAGATTTACCTGTAAGTCGAAGTTTGATTGTAATTCTATAAGTCATTAGCGAGGAGTGGAGGAGTTGTAGGCCCACCCATGAAATTACACCCAGGCCCGATTATCTCCTCCACTCTAAGCATTGTACCAACATTAATGCTCTAAATACTGGTTAACTCATGCGTGGTACTGTCTCTCTTCAAACTCCTCCACTCCTCGCTAATGACTTATAGAATTACAATCAAACTTCGACTTACAGGTAAGTCTCGATTCGGTGTTTTAATTTTCGTTATTTTTGCATTGGTTCGTGCGTTGTTCATTCAATGGACTTTGGCCACTGACAGTTCTATACATTTATAGTGTAATAAATCTGTGTATATAGTCTATATAATGTGCTAAATGCGCCTAGCAATAAACAGACTTGTATAAAATCTGATAGCAGAAACTTGTGTTATATAATTAATCTACCTGTATGTCAATGAAACGCACATGTTTAATATCTATCACCTGTGATTGCCCTTTAACCCCTGGTCTTGGCTACTTTATTAATATATAATATATATTGCTTTTTCGCAGTTCCACTCATCATAAGAATCGATTCCTTACTGGCTCAAGGCCTTAATTTAAATTAAGCTCACAGCTCACTAGTCGCTGCGAGTAATAACTAGTATGCTTGATATACAATTTGTGCTATTTACTGTAGTTCTATTTGCTTTTAATGCCCGCAGCAATCCCTATACCTTGCAGGTACCCTAGTCTTTATGTATTTAACAATTATACCATGAGCTCGAGTCGTATATGAGCTGTAGTTTCGATCACCCAGCTAGCCAGGCACTGGTCGACCTAACTCCTGTTGCACCAGAAAATAGGTAGTAGATAAATACACTAAGCCAAGCATAATAGATTTCCAATAATCGCAAACTCAACTTTTACACTAATAATACGTCTGCTAAAAGGGCATCTTTGCCCACAAAAATTGTGCTCCTATTACGCTTTGCACTCTGTAGAGTTTAATAAATTAAGGTTTGCAAAAGACAGCCCTTTTTGAATTAGCTGTATATGACGGGAGACATACTACAACACTATATGTCTATGTAATTGTAAACTGTAAAAACTGATTGGTTATAAAACCAATTTGAATTAATTGTCTCCGGCAGGTGCACTTATTTGACCAATATATTTTATTACTAGTTAAAACAACCACAAAGTGAGCTATATTTGAACCAATTTTCCGTTGTTTTGACGAAATAATATTGGTCAAACGAAAATGCATCTGAGACAAGCAATTCAAAGTGTTATTTTAGCCAACCCGTTTTTACAAGTAGACTAATTAATGGCCGGTACGGCGCATGGATGTTAATAACCGTTCATGTTAGTAGGTTACTCTAATCAGTCTTTCCAGTGTCATCCAGAAGAATCCAAATATGCTAAGTAACATTGTAACGCTATAGATTGCATGTATATTTACTGTATTTAGCGGAGAGGATGTATATAGTTCTTTATCCCTTCCCTCTGAACTATAGCTAATAAATTCCGATCTCTTCAGACAGTGGTGTTGATTTGAACCGCATGAAAGTATGGACTATAATTAACCCCCTTTTTCAGCCATCTGCTTAATCATTCCGCACCCTAGGGACATTTTAGCCATTTTCTTCGTATGACAATTCTTATCTTACCACCACCTGCTTATCAATAATTATAAGAACCAACCTAATCATCAATAATAATCAAGATTATTTAGTTACATGAATTAAGAATCATCGCGTCGCAGTGTTTGTATGTTTGCTGCCATGCCGGAGTTGAGATATGTTTTCTATTTTAACCAAGTGAGGAATAAACACTATACGCCTATTATTAGGTGTGAATGTTGTTGCTATCGTTGGTACAGTGATCGACTTTTACCAAAGTGCACTTGGTTTCTGCCAAAAAGACGTTCATCTGTCTAACTAAAGAATTTGAAAACTACTGGTACTAATTCTTCTGTTCATAGCGCGCACAAGCTGTTGGCCAGGGAGATTGTGTAAGCTAGAATTATATGCACAGACCTGTCAGAAAGTAGTGCTCTGCATACTGCAGATCACACTCTAATCAGTCTTTCCTGTCTCATCACCAGGAGAAACCAAATATGCTAACATTGTAACGCCATATATTGCATGTATATTTATGTGTGTTATATGTAGAGAGGATGTATACCATGAGCTCGAGTCGTATATATATACCAAGAGCTCGAGTCGTATATGAGCTGATAGCCGACGAGCTGCGTAGCACCGAGTCGCCTATCAGCCATATACGACGAGAGCGAATGGTATAATTGTTTTATAGATAGTCTAATATAGCCATTAACTGAAGCAGTAATTAATTATTCACTGTTACAATGTGTTGACAATTTGTTCGGCCAAAAACCGCTTGAAAATTTGAAATACTTTTAAAAGTTTTACAACTCGAAGACGAAGTGAAAGAAATGGTTTTAGAACCTCTATATCTCACAGGAAAGCTCAGATATATTATACAGATGTTTGGTACTATAGTAAGTGCTTGTTGACCGCAAATTCATTTGTCGTTCATTGCAAACTTTCCTGAACAATTTATATTCTCAATGAACATGTTTTTTCGCTGTTGTTTGGGTATTAATTCTTTGAAAAACTTGTATTTAAACTAATTTCTACGTAATAAATGTATTCTGCTAACCTGTCAAATTTTTTTTGAGAGTTTTTCCTTGTACTATTATGTTTCTCAAAGCGAATATAATTATTTTCCTTTTTCTGCTTCGCAAAACTCATGTAGTTTTTGGACCGCCATCATGTTTTTCGCTACTCGCCGTATATGAGCTGATATACGGCGAGTAATTCAACCAATCAGATTGCAGAACAGCTCATATACGGTGGATGACTATAAATTCCGTTTTCTTCAGACAGTGGTGTTGATGTGAACCACATGAAAGTATGGACTATAATTAAGTTAACCCCATTTTTCAGCGATCCGGTTAATCATTCCGCACCCTATATTTTATATAGACATTCTAGCCATTTCGTTCGCATGACAATTCTCATCTTACCACCACCTGCTTATCAATTATAATAACCAATCTATAATGTCTCAGTCGGAAAGGCATAAAATTCCAATTTAATAGCAAGCAAATATTACATCTATCTATCTATCTATCTATCTATCTATCTATCTATCTATCTATCTATCTATCTATCTATCTATCTATCTATCTATCTATCTATCTATCTATCTATCTATCTATCT